GTTGTTGTTGCACTGCTTACAGTGTGGGGTACTGATGTTCTGAGCTCCTGTTTGTGCAGCTCCAGTAATGCTGATGTTGATGATTATTATTATCCAGAAGTAACAGGTGTAGTGGTAGTTTTGTGTTGGTCCTGGAAATGATTTGATATTTAGAAGAGGAGAAAACAGAGGAGAAACATAACTTAAAAAGAACATACTCACCTAGATTATGGGAAATCAAGGCATTTACATTACTACTGTGTTTCAGTTGATCAGAGGATATCAAGAGACAAAAACTGTTTCAATGCACCATCTTTCTTTGGTGTGCACATGTAGCATCAAGTGGTGCTCATGTGTGAACTTATTCTGCTCTGAATTCATCCCTTTGAATTTGAGACATCGAACACTGAAGGGTTTTGCTTTATTCAGAAGTTTCTGCAGCTCAAAAAAGGAAACTTAATAACAGCCCACTATACAATAAATAAAGCATATGAATGTCTTTTGTCACTGTCAGCGCAGGTAGGAATGCTGCTGACGCTACAAGTCTTCTCCCTGCAGTGCACGACAGAGGCGTCAAATTAAAAGCTACAAATGACACAAAGTCGTATACGTGCATGCGTGCGCCTGACGTTTTTTCTTTTAGTTTTCTTTGTCCCATCGGCCACCAAAATAACACACTGCGCGGGATAAATAACAACGACAATTGTAAGACAAATGATGTGGTCTGCCTGCCCTGCAGCCAGCCTTCAAGCACTTGTGTCCTCTGGGTGAAACAATGACTCGTCGGCTGTGGGTGAGACGCATCGCCGTCGGACGCACATGGAGGCCTCCACGCAGCATGCACACATTTGAATGCACACGTGCAATGCCGGTATTCCTGTCTTGTTGCGGCGCCTGTCATGCGGTAACAGAGTAGACACCGGTTTAACAGCTCTACTGTGGAAGGCCTGTTGCTGCTATTTTTAAGGTGAGAAATAATCATTTTCATTATGTTTGAGAACAAGAGGACGGCTTTCTTTGGCTGTTAGGGGTCCTTTTCTTCAGCACCTATGCTGTTTCTTTCTGCAAACACTTGACTGTAAATGTGGATATTTTTGTGTTCTGAAATGAAGTGTTACTGAACTGAGTGTGAGAATCTAACAAAAGAGTATGTTAGCCGTCTCGAAGGAGATGTCAAATGTTATTGTCCATTTTTGACAATGTGCATTAGAAAAAGAGTCCTCTCCAATTCCTCTCCTCTCCATCTTGTTATTGTACAGATCAATATCATCGCTTGCTGTACATGCATATCGGCACAATGTATATTGAGTAAATTGTATCGGACAAGTGATTTGCAGCAACAATAAATCTTTAAATGCAAAGGTGAGCCTCTTGTGATATAAAGACAAAAGACTGGGAAAATGTAATTGCACACCTCCACCCACCGGAGTTGTGAATAGGATTCATCTCCAGCCCGATGATGTTTCTGATGACAGCTCTCATCTCTACAAATAGCCTGGGAGAGAAGTGGTGAGAACATTCACAGCGCTGTTCCGCACTGACGTGGTTACATTCACTGTTCGGCAGAGACGAGGAAGGACACAAGTATAACATGTTATGTAGATTCACACATTGTTTACTCACCCATGTCTTTACGGGATCATACCACGTATCGTAAGACATCCTAGTTTTATAAATTAAAGGCGTTGCTCTGGGACGATTTTTTTAAACAATATGTATCATGCGTATCTGCAAAATGAGGATGAGGAGTAACAGCTCCGCTGCAGAAGACTTGCCTTTTGTTCATAGTATTCATATTAATATCTAGGGCTGCAGAGAGACTTGTTTTCATGTTTGTAAGTTCGATAAGAAGCGGGTGGAGGCCTCCTGTGTCGTGTGCAGGTGCAGGCTGCTGTCTGTTAATCACTGTGACTGTATCCTCTGTGCCACAACTCCATGGACATAAGTGGAGGTAGACGCACACAGCGTTCCCCTTGTATCTACTAAAATACTGCAAAATTATGATGTCAAAAAATGACGTGGCTCCCTTTTGATTTCTCGGCTTTTTCAAAGAAAACCACAGGACAAGTGGTTTACAAAGCGGACGTAGCAGACGAAAAAAAAGCAATTTAATATCAGTTGGACTGTATCTAAATTGATATGCGCGATCCCAGCACAGCAGGGCAAGACTTAGTTCATAAAGCACATAATGATGCCTGCTTTGACAGTTGACATCATGGAACCCAGAGGAATCTTGATTTATTACTGCTCTGGCTAATGTTACAGAGGTTGGGTGGAGGAGAGACGACATGAATGAGAGGAGACACGAAGAGAGGCGAGGGAACGGAAAGAAGGAAAGAGAGGATGACTGATGTGCTCATTAAATTTCTGCTTTGTCAACCTGCAAAACATTTCCCACAGCTGATCACAGACAAGTCTGAGGTCATCGTGATTAGCTATGACATCAGACTGGTTAAACATCTGCTCTCTGACACCTGATGCGACCCTTACCCTTTGGTCATATTTATATTTTTCACATGGACACTCGAACTGCATGTTTGTCTATTTATGTCTCCAATCCATCTTTCGATAATTCGGTTTAAAGCCCCATCAGCAAAACCTCCAAAACAAGCGCTTACTTACAGCGGCATGCTTACATTAGTGACATCAGTCGTTTAGCTCATTGTGGGCCTGTGTGCAGCGCTTTGATCGACATCTGGGTTGTTTCTGTACCCAGTACCCAGAAATGTTTACTGTGTGTTTGCGGTATCTATCAACTGGCATTAGCATGGCGAGTCCAGAACTGCGTGGGTATGAGAGGAGGACAAGATGTGAAAGTTAAAGAGCAGAATAGGAAAGAGGACAGGTAAAGAGACAGACGTTTCTAAGGGTCGGCATGAGGTAAATACACATGTTCATGTCACAGTTGTGTACCATTAAATCTTTAACTCATTCCACATTCACTACTAACTAACCTTGTGGCCGGTGTGATTTCATTTTGCACCCTCAGCAATCTCATTCCCTGTAATGAGTAGTCTTGATACACACCCCCCCCACACACACACACTCACACACAGTGTTAATTTGACTTGCCAGGAGGAAATAGTGTGATTCGCCTGACTAGGTCCCTGGACATGAATCTAAAGACAGTAGGGAGTGTGCAGAGCAATCAAGTGATAAAGCTTATTATCTGAGAGGAGCTATATTCTAAGACTTATTATCTACCAGGAGTTAAATGACTTTCAGGTCCTCAAAGGCCTGATGGCCTGGTTTGACTCGGCAGCAGAGAGAATGAAGGGTAGAGGAGACCACGCAGGAAGGAGGAGATACAGGAAAGAGCAGACAGGTGATGGAGATGGGGGAGGGAGGAAGAAAGGATACGAGGCGGGAGGGGAGAGGAATCCAGATGTAAGGAGAGGTGGGAAAAGGAGGGGAAAAGATCAGAGGGGAAAAAAAAGAGAGGTGAGGAGAAAGAAGAAGCTCGAAGACCGGAGGGAGGCGAAGGTGATTCATAGATGTGGGCAGCAATATTTCTGTCTTTTTGTAACTGCTGTGAAACCAATTTCTTGGTCAGGGTTGGGAAATATACTATACTTCATAAAGCTGCCGAGTGCTGCATTGTGTCTTTGTTGAATCAGTTCAGATAGTTTACTACTATGGATACTGTAGATAGTTTATTGCCTTGAATACCACCAGTGTTGACATAGCAACAATAGATTTTGGCTGGATTCGAATTGTCCTCCTAACGTCTATTCCTAACGACTATTCCTTGATCTCTGTGGAAAACGTCACAGGGTGAAGGGAAGATGGTTAGGAGAATTCATGAGAAGAGGAAAAGACAACCGCGGTGTTTAGCGGATCCAACTCCACTTTCACTAAGCGACGCAGTTACGATGCGACGGGAGACGCATGTTAGTGACGTCAGTCTGAAGCGGCAAAACTACAATTTCTCTGTGACTCCACCAGAGGATTAGAAACCTACCAGCTGGTATAATGTGCGTAACAAAAACATATATACTAAATATAAATGGCATTGACAAAAGTAGAGAAAAGGGATTTTTAGGTATACTGTAAGTTGTGTCCTTTGAAGAGTTGTAAAATTGCCAATTACACAAAATGTTGTTGCTTTGAAATGATGTACAGCTGCAATGAGGCCTGTCCTGGTCACCTTTTAACCAAAGTCGCTGAAAGATAAAGGTTGTTGCTGCATATCTGCAATGTCACCGGAATCCCACGATCTCAGAGCACCTGTGGTGTCTTTTCGTGTGCTTTCTGTAGACGTTACTGTCGCTATCACAACACACCGTGTGACCCCCCTGCCTCAGTACACAGAAGCATCATGTCCTTGTGTTTCCCAGCTTTATCGTTTTCATTGAGGAACATGATTTAGTTTTTAAAAGTCGTTTCTACGGTGTCCCTCCCTTGTTTGTCTTGTATTGTGTAGTAGGTGTATGTAGACGGACACATGTTAGTGTTCCATACTAGAGTCTAGAAGATGTGACAAAATAATAGATTGGGAGTTAAAACTACCTTTTCTAAACTTCAATCTTTGTTCGATAATTAAGGTTATAGAGAATACTTAACATCTGAAACAAAGTAGTGTAATCACGGCTAAATGTCTGCTAAAAGGTGTAATGAACAAATGGCTGCATTTGGCCGTCCAGGCAGCCCATTACTGGTAGATAGCTTCCAGCCTAAAGAGTGCTAATGAGCCCAGTGTGCATCAGTGTTTGCCCGGTCCCTCTTTACACATGCAATATTTACTAAGCTCCTCTGAAGTATGGGCTGTGGAGTGCAGAGTCGAGTGTTACTCAATGTAAATGAACACTCCTCTGACTTAAAGGAACAAACACTTTATCCACATGAATTGCTTTAAAAAGCTAATTTAACAGACAGTGCAAAAGGTCAAAAGAGTTTAAAAGGAATTCAAAACCTTATGGCGTACTATTTAAGTGCAGCACAGCAGCTACAAGCTAAATGCTGCTCCTGTTTGTATTGTGATTTACAAGAAGAAAAAAGACACACAACTGTGACAACTGCCCTTGTTGGTTAAGATTATTCTTTATTATGAAGTGCCACAAAATGCTTTGTGTTCATTGTGCTTACATTGTCTGAATTGTGGCTCAAAAAACCAAGGAGTTTGTGTCTCTGCACCAGAGAGCCAAACCTCTTGAGAAGAAGGTGTGTTAGATATCACTATACAGCAGTAAAAACGTCTCAATCCAAAGGATTCTTTACAAACCCTCCTGCAATAAATAATTGTTTAGGTTATCATCATCCTTTAACTCGGAAATACAAAAAAAGAAGAGAAGTCAAGCTAGTACAAGGTTTTTAATTCGTCTCTACCTGAATTCTAGTTTCATTGTGCTACTTTCTTTAAGTTGGAGATGACTGGAATGGAAGTGCTAGGAGACAACGGACCTGGAGCTCACCCGGAGACAGACACACAGTCAGTCACACACACACACACACACACGGCTCTTCTGTCTCAAAACCAGCAGACCGCCAGATACCCTAAAGACGTTTAGACCGCAGTGCAAAGGTGCAGAGAGTTTTAAAACGCAGTAATACAATTTGTAATTTATTAACAGAGAATCAGTCAGAAAGACCCTCAGTGTTGGTTGTATAAATTGTGTTGTTACGGTTTTGTTCACATTCAAATAGAAGTGATAATACGATTTACATATTCTCATTTATGTCTCTGCAATGGGTCAATGGCTCCGAAATGGGTTTTTAAATATTGCAATGCTTTGTGTTTTTTATCTGTGATTGGATTTGTGTAGAACACGTGTTAAAGGAGACATTTTAAATGTTTTTTACCAACTCATATGTGTAGTTTTGAGTATTTTAGCCGAGAGCTTAAATTCACTGCTGAAAAAACAAAAAAAATGTTTAGGCTTGGTTGAATCTCTGTGACTAATTGACTGATACAATTCAAGATATTTCAGCTCAAATCTAGTTCTCATATCAGAAAGAGAGATAGGAGCTGCAATGCGCTGACTCACATGCTGCTGTTGCTCCAGTCACAACAGTCAGTCTCAAAAAAAGCTTCTTCGTGAAAGATTGTATCGACTCAACACAAGGCTTGAAAGCAATATGTTGACTTTTTGAATCCAGAAAAGATCTGACGACCTTTGATTTCCAACCGGTTCTTTAACTTTATCTCCGAGATCTATGTGAAATTAGATAATTCTCTGTGTATCAGAGCAGACTTCTTCTGTCGCTGAAACCCTGAAGTGTCGGATATCAGAAGTCTCTCATGAGGATGCATTGCGATCTTCAAAACCTTCCTTTTGTCAGGGATTCACATCTGAATATTAAACCAGTTTATTTTCAATTGTTGGAAGCCTGACTGTTGTAGCCTCACAAAAGCTCATCAGCAGCAGCTTGTGTGTATATTCTTCGGCGGTATATTCTGCGACTGTGCCCAGTGTTTTGTATTCAAAGCTACAATGAAAACATATGGCAAATGAACAAACACTCCGTGTGTTGTGCAGATCTGTGTCAGTCTGTCTCTCAGGAAGCTCCATGAGTCTGTGGAAACGGTTTCTGAGCTGCAGAGAACTGGGTTCAGCAACACTGGTATCGGCCACCTAGACTAAAAGTTTAACCCTGTGTGGGATGGGATTGATGAGAGAAGCCTGTCGGTGGATGCATCACTGGTAGAGGTTTCCCACGGTCGACCCAGTAGGCCCAAATGGGTCCTACTACAGACGAATGAGGACTCGGCCTAATGTATCTATCGGGCTATAACAGTTAAGCTGAGATAGGACCGTCCGGCTAAAGTGCATGCTTTTTCTGTGTTTGAGATGCACGCTTTATGGTTTGGAAGTGCACTGGAAGGGTAGTTAAATAATGCATTGCATTTAAAGTTGAAACTGGTCCAACTTCAACAATGGACCAAATTTTCACTTGTTTCTCTATTGAAATCATACTGTGAGTGGCTAGGTATTGTATGCTTACTTTTGTTTTCAGATGATTGTAAAGTTGTTTGATCTGATTGCTCTATAAACCTTATTTCATATTTTCTTGGTATCAGCACAAACACATTCCTTTTATTAAAAGGTATAGTAAAGTATAGCAAAGGCCTATTGTTATTTTCCTCCAAAACAAAGAAGATCAACAGGTCCCATTTTAACGCCCCAGACCCTTTATTAACCATTGAACTCCCATGAATGGCCGATAACCCAATCTGAGTAAAATGTTGAGAGGCCTAAGGCCTCCCCACGTAATTGTTAGCAGACTTATTTCATGCTGGAATTAGCCAAGCACGGGCCTGTCAGGGTTAGGGTCCTACAATAGGCCTCGCACCCAGCAGGCAGCTGATCCCGGCCTCTCTAGCCTACATCCTACATTAGGTCTACTCACTAAGAGGCAGCCAGTGCATAAGAAGAGAGGAAAGACAGGACTTTTCTTTTTGTTTGTCTAACACTACATTGGCATGTTCCCTGATGTTTTTAATATTAGTATTATTCTGTTCGTGACTATAGGTGAAGTAAAACATACCTGATTTTAACTGCTATACAGTATGGTAATACTTCATAACTTCATCATAAAATACCATGCATTAGGTGATTATTGCTTTTAAAGAGTCCTAAGGAGGCTTCTAGAGAAAAAATATTGCCCTCAGGTGCTATCCCTAGGAATTTGGCAAAAATAATAACATTTCATGATGTTGGCATAGATTTCTTTTTTTTTGCATGCAGTAACCTTAATAAGAAAAGAAAAAAAATGAACTTAGTAGGAAAAGTAGTACTAAAAAAGTGACAAATGCTTTGGCCTTTACTGATAGAAAGAGGTTGGCAACTATTCTACATAAATATAAAGAAATTAAAATAAATTAACGGTATCATTCATTATTATCAAATCATGTATAAACATACAACAGATAAAAAAAGAAAAGAAAATGCTGAAATAAGTAAATAAATAAATTGTATTTGTACCTCAGTAGTGGAGAGAGTATGGTCACTTGGTGCAGCAGAACATTATTATTATCATCATTATTATTACTATAATTATTACTATTGTTCCCTCTAGAAAACCAAAGGAAAAGAAAAAGAAAAACTCTTTCACTGCATTTCAGTGCATGGAGGAACCCAGTAGCTATAGGCCTACTATTGTCTTTGTCGTCATCGTCATCATGATCAGTGTCCCAGAAAATATGATGCCGTACTGTAAATGCCAGAAGGAAGCTGTGTAGTTATTGTCTCCATCCAGCACGGACAGCGAAGGGAGGAGGTGGTGAGTTTTTGAGGAAGTGCATGCGTTGATCAGTTAAATCCTTAAGTGGACAAATCTCAAGGAGAAAAAATTGTGCTATCGTCATCACCACGAACAGGCTCCGAGGGAAAAGCAAGGTGTGGGGGGTGGGGGTGTCGGCGAGAGACAGAGGGGGAGGGGCAAGGTCACGTTCAGACCAAAAATAGATTGTTTGTGACACTGCAGTTCCGTCTGTAAGGATAATGGTAATTTATGTCTGCAGTTTTGTTTGTTGTTCCATCTATGCCGGGAGCGGGGGGGCGGGTGGGGGGGGTCATGCATCTAGGGGGCCGAGGGGAGAGAAGGGGCCTTTGAAACAGGCGGACTCGTAGTGCTTGTTCAGGTAACTTTTGAGCGCGAAGGTCTTGTTGCAGCGTTTGCACTTGTAATGCTTGAAGGCCGAGTGGGTCTGCATGTGAGCGCGCAGGTTGGAGCGGTCGGCGAAGGCCTTCCCGCACTGGGCGCAGCCGAAGGGCTTCTCACCCGTGTGAGAGCGCATGTGGCCCTGTAAAAGCCACGGCCGGCTGAACGCCTTGCCGCACACGTCGCACTTGTGCTTGAGGTCGTGCGTGAGCAGGTGCATGGCCATGGCGGGCATGGACACGTACACCTTACCGCACGTGGGACATTTCTTCGCCAGCTTGCTGTCCAGCGAGCGGTGTGTCTGTTTGTGCCGGCTCAGGTTGGAAGACGTGGCGTAGGTCTTGCCGCATTCGTTGCAGGTGTGCCTCTGGATGGCCCTGGGGCTGCTGATAGCTTTCCTCCTGGAGCGGCCGTCGGTGATGAAGAAGGCATCGACCGTGTAGCCCTCGCTCACGGCGGCGTCTCCGTTAATGTAGCCGTCGGTGGTCTCCGAGCCGGGGCTGTCGGGCGACTCGGAGTCAGGGGCCCCGTAGTCGCTGTGGATGCCGTCGTAAAGGGGGTCCGGGGAGGGCACTTTGATCCCGCCGTCGCTCTCGCCATCGTACGCAACTGGGCTGATGTAGTCGCTGATGTATCTGGCTGAGAAGGAGAAAAGAAAACGGGGTTTCACGCAGGGACACAGGGATCAAAGCCATACGCATCCAGATGAAAGTATTTCTCCCTGATGTGACATCTGTGGATAGTTTGTAGATTCGCTCCATTACAATTATCTTAAGAAGCGCAGAAGGGCGCAGGCACAAAAATCCCTCGACCAAGAGACCCACCGTTTAAATACCAGTAGGACATGAGGACACTTGATTGCACATGTCCGTCTAACAGGGACACATCGGGGGTTTGGATTAACACCAGTAAACTGTAGCAAGCAGCTGGATAGGAAGAAAAGTGTAAAATCAGATGGTCCTATTTTCTCAAGCATATACTTTGTTACAGAGATAGCAATGCAGAGATTTTGTATACTGACACAACTGCACAGTCTGAATTGGTGGAATTGAATACATGCTTACTTAGTGATGTAAATAACTACTACATAAGGATTTGATACATTTATTTATTTGATATACAGGTGGCTCATGCGGCTTTATGGTGTTTTCTTCTGCTTCTGCGTCCCATTTCAGGGCATTTATTATGAAACAGAACATAGAGACGGAGGATTGAAATGTATAATTCAAACAGGTTGTTCATTCAACCAGTAACTTGTTTCCCACCTGTCACTGTATGTTGTATGTGAAGACACCATTAAGGCCTTCCTTAAGTGCTATGATGAACACAAACGCTGACATGAAGGGCAGCACAGTTTTCCACGTGATGCATTTTTCCTTTACACCGAAAGAGCAGGAAAAGAAAGATGGCAACGCAATAGGTGAAACCAAAGATTCCAGTAAAATTCAATCCTAGGTCAGTAAATTTACATTTATTCTAAACCCAATCATCTCAAGTTATACACAGCACAGAGGCACCTAGCCTTACCGTCCTCCTTTCAGTCTAAATGTATCGCTGAAAAGTAACACATAATACTGTGGTAGGCAAAGTCCTTTAGCATGTACCTGCCCTGGAGTAATACTGCAGCAACTACAGCCACGTCCAATCGGATGCATTTAACATTCATAAGAAGTAGAAGATTCTCAACTCACAATGAGTAAAGCAGAACAGCTGTAACCAATCTGAACAACTTTAGACATATGTGATGTGTCTGCATTGGCGCAGTGTAGCACAGAACATCTCACTCTACCGCACACCTGTGGCCTGCAGTGGAGTGTGGAGCAAAACAGCCTCCAGAGTCCTGAGATAATCCAAGCAATACACTTCCCCTCAGTTCTCAAAGGTTGCAGTTTAAACACTTCCTCGGAGAAAGATAAATGCACACAGGCCGACCCTGAACTTGAAGAAAGCTGATTTAGGCTGTGAAAATGAGCGTCAGCACCACGGACAGATCCAGTGCGGCGCCGGTCGATGGCACAGTGACAGCAAGGCTGCTGAACAGGCTCAGTCACTGCAGGCAGCAGCACAGTGGCTTTTTTATAGATCAAGGGGTTTAACAGTTGCACGACAAGCCTTTTGGGCAAAGTACAGTCGCTGTAACTCATTCTAAAATGAGCTGGTTAGATGACTGCTCCCTCTAGATATTACTATATGTATCGTGGCTAAAAGGCATCAATAAACACAACCGGTGACACTACATGCATCAACAATATAGAAGATTTCATGATAACACATTCCTCCTCATCATTCAACGTGTCAAGAATTCTACAAAGCAATGTAAAAAATCGGATTTTTAACAGGGGGGGTACTTTTTTCTCCTTTGAGAAATAAATGTTACAGTCTCTCAGAGGGTCTTGGGGGTGAGATTCACCTGTGATGCCACATCTCTGCCTGCATACAATAAGTGCTATTACACATCTCCCACAGTGTCCCATCTGAATTCACGGCCCCACCACACACAACGCACAGAACACTGGTGGCGTATAAATTATTCCAAAAGCCGGCCCGTTCAAGCAGAACGTTGTTCCTAATGCGGTGTTGTGGGGCAGTGCCTGCGCGGTCCTGCTCATAGCAGCTGCATTAAGCTGTTGCCTTCAGAAGTTGGGGATGGAGACAAAGAGGTGGCCGGGGACAGGCAGCGCTGCACGCTGCTGCTGAGGTGGCAGATCGCGCGTCGAGCCAAGCAGGGCTTGTTAACCTCGCCATTATAAATACACCACTGACAGCTTTTCGCACACAGAATACACATGTTGATGTGAGAAAGCAGTTCAGTGGCTGCATCTGTACGATGGAGGCATCTCTGCTGTTGTTGTTGTTGTTGTTTTTTGTGTGTGTAAAATCTGACACAGTTATACTGGGCGAGAAAGTTTGCAGGTTTGAGAGTAAAACGGCGGCACGGATTAATGAATCAAATAACTGCAATATGGCTGCGCGTTGCTACGACTTAGGAGTCTATTCAAAATGTAAGAAAAGGGCCAACGCAGTAACTAAGCATTAAAATACCCGACGAGACGAAGAGTTTCCTCTGATTGAAACTTATTATAGATCAACGCTTTATTTTATTTTAATTGTCGTCCTGCAAAAATCTGCTAACGCTGCAAAAATGAGACAGCCATACCTGAAGACGGAGCACACCCAAAACCCCCATGCAAAGTGTGTTGTTAAATAATATTACGATGATTTTAAAAGATAGAAAACTCTACTATGAAGGTTCACTGTGTTTTGTCACTTAATTTCCTGAATGAAAAACATCTCCACCAAACACGGCAGATACAAGCCAGTAGGTCTCATGGATGATCACACTGAGAGTGCAGCATGACACCACTTCCACTGAGCTTTGCCATTTGAAAATGATACCAGATATTAATAAACACCTCCATCTTTATCTCCTTTAGCCCTACGTAGGGGGGAAGAGTCCTAGTTGACTGAGTCAAAATCAATGAAACATGCGACACGCTGTCCCATGCTGCCAACTCAACTCCCATAACCCACCAAACGTTTAAATTCAGCCCGTTTCACACTGCTAGTAAACACAGTGGGTGGTGTGGTGGAGCAGGGGGGAGTGGTTGTTGATATTGGCATCCAGCAGGATCACTTATGTTGTAGTGGTCGTGGTAGTGCAGGACTTTGAAGCGTTTATCATCCATCTCAAAGGTAATAACTATATGTGATAACTCAGCGCTGTCTGGCCTTCTGTAATCAATAATTATAGGCTCCTTATCCACCTAAAGTGCCTCCACATCGCCCTGCAGCGAGCAACGACACCGTTAAGGCTTCAGATACGACAGAGTAATATAACTTCTGTAGCTACATTAACTACACACGTTCTGTATAATTAGAGTTTATTGCCAGGACGCAACGGTTATTTCACCTCTCGGTGTCGCAGCTAAAGCCTCCTTTTCTGAAACAGCATAGTTACCCCTCCTCCTCCTCCTCCTCCTCCTCCTCCTCCTCCTCCTCCTCCTCCTCCTCCTCTGTCAGACCTGTTTTTTGAGACACCTGTTACTGGGAGCTGCTGTGTGCAAGCAGCATGACCTACCTTTGTCATGCAGCCGCAGGCTGAGGTCTGTCCTGTGCCGGTACACGTTCTCCAAATCTGCTCCGGCGAAATCATACTGGTTTCACCTTTTCACCAGGAAGGACCTTGGCATGGTGGTGCGACTGCTCGACACACGCTCACAAACGCAGCCGTTTCCCGACGGCCTGGCCAGCGTGCTGGTTCACCAGAAACACTCCGGAGGAAGAACGTCTCCAGGAGCAAGCGCGTGGTTATGTTTGCCTCCTTATTCTTCTGCTTTAGTCCGTGTGCAGAGAGAGAGAGAGAGAGAAGGGGGGTGAGGGGGGGATTCAACTTCAGCACCGGACAGCTCCCCGGCGGGGTGCGGGCGCTCCTTCCTCGCGAGCAGCCGGCAGAGGGGGGAGAGGCTCGTGAGAAAAAAATGTCAAAGGGAGAGAGAGAGGGGAAGATTTTGGAAGCAATTAAAAAAAGAAAAAAAAGAACGGTCGGACACGTTGCCCTTCCTACTTTGGCGGAGAAATAGTCCCTAATTCCCCGTTAGTGATGACTACTCGGGTCGGTAAAAAAGGAAGAGGAAAAAAAAAACCACAACAACATTCCCCGTGGGTGAATTGATCAACAGCGTCCCTTCTTTCTGCTTCTGTATGCCTCGCTTCTCTCTCTCTCTCTCTCTCTCTCTCTCTCTCTCTCTCTCTCTCTCTCTCTCTCTCTCTCTCTCTCTCTCTCTCCGCAGCGTCCGCGAGGTGTTCCACTGACTGTGCGCCTCGCGATCAGCTGTTGCCATTTATACGGCGCAGAGAGAGAGAGAGAGAGAGAGAGAGAGAGAGAGAGAGAGAGAGAGAGAGAGAGAGAGAGAGAGAGAGAGAGAGAGAGAGAGAGAGAGGGCGCACGGCAGCGGAGGGGTGGATAGGCACACACACACACACACACACACACACACACACACACACACACACACACACACACACACACACACACATGGGTAGAGGGAGTGCTTAATTTAATCCATCCCACATCCCCGGGGAGCGGCGACTGGCCCGGATGATTTATTGAAGCTGTTATCACCCCCCTCTTTCTCTTTCTTCCACTGTCTTTCATTCCACTTCCCCCCCCCCCTATCTCTTTATTTAATGACCGTGCGCGTGTGAGTCGCTGTGTGTGTGAGCAGAGTCGCCATTTTTGGGCAGATATGCATGGAAGTAATTCTTTTTTGGGGGGGTAGTTTGTTTTTCAGCACTTATTGACTTGCCTCAGTTATCATGTACCATTGATTTTAAGCATTTCCTCTTGGCTTTATTTTAGTCTAAATGTTGTTTTTTCTTCCCTTGTCTTTTATCGCCTGCTAAGCATATTGTGTCCTTGCTTTGCTCCACGGTGACATGGATTGTATGGACGGATAGTGGATATCATGCTGAGAGCCTCTAATTATCATTAATGTGGCCCCAAAGGCAAACGGGTGTAGACCGAATGGAGTGTTTAACAGTGACTGCTGGATTAAAATGGAAGTAGCGTAATATCCGCTTTGGGGTCACATTCAGTTCACCGGCGAGTTTAATCATTTCAAGCATTCTTGAAAGTAATGACAACAGTGATTTGAGAGACGAATCAACCATCAGCTGTAGACTCTCATTCCCAAATAATATCTCTTCTAAAGAAATTTGAAAAATATGAAGAAATAAGAAAAATCCACAACTTTGTTTGTAAAGTTTGATGTTTATGTGACCCGTACAAGAGATATGGGCAACTCTCCCTGTAGGGGATCTGGGAGTTTGTCCTATCAACTCATCAGCAGACTGTTTTGGAGCTAATCAGATCTGTTGTTGCAGAAACTTGCTGAATTTGATAAGTGGATTTTCATTACCTTGACTTGGATAAGGATTCAGGATGTGTGGAAAGGAGATATTGTAGGAAAATAACTTTAACTTGAAATGTTGATGAAAAACAAAACATCGAAACCCCCTTCTCTCTTTTTTTTTCTTGCAGTGATTACATTGAAAGTTATCAAAAGATTTACATTCAAAGATTGTCAGTGTGTGTGGCAGTAAAAGTATTCATGAATTAGATTAGAATCATTTTGAATATTTAGACAAACAATTTTCGTAAAAAGGAAATTTGGTCACATTTTCTGTTTTTAGTCGGTGATTCAAACAGCAGTGTAAGAAAAAGGATATTTTGTGTTAAACAGGTTACAGACGGGTGATTTTCCTTTCATAGCTGACTGTGAAGATGAGAAGTGTTTTGTTGATTATGTACCAACTGAGGCATCTGGGTCATTTGAGCGTGATGCATCTGAGGGACGGATCTTTTTCTACTCTGTGTGTACTTATTGATTACAGACCATATGACTTGCACAATATGCATGTGTGTAAACATGACTCATGACTGACTGATCCTGTTTGTGTATGTGTGTGTGTATTTTGTGATACCCGTCCATCTGTTGTCCTTAATAAGGGAAGAACAGATGAGTTCCATCACCTGGAGACTGGCTCAGGGACGTCCAATTACCCTGATCCAGTAACCCCCCCCTCCTTCCTCCCCCCATCCGCATCGTATCAGCTTGAGGATGTAGGAGTAGTTTATAACAATGGAAGGGAGAATATTTCACTGCAGCTCACATGACTGTACATTGCAGCCTAAAGTGGAAAGCTGAGTGTTCTCTTCTTGGTGTTATCTTTGCGCTTTGCTCACGGCACCTCCCTTTATTTTTAATTTCGTCAACAGGCCTGGCGAGCAACTCAAAAAAGGTTTGCAATTTGAAGATTTGCTTCTATTATTTAATCTGGTCAAATTGTTGAAGTTTAACTGAATAAAAAAAGCAACCTATCTTTTTTAAGTATTCTTAAAAGTGACATTAAAATGTAGCTCTTTGCTTTTTATCACAGATATAGTAGTTCTGGTTTTGAACAAATAATAACTGCTTAAGTATTTATATATCATTGTACTCCTTACAATGATTGAAGCTGAAGTCACTCCCACTATGTACATCGTCATCAAAGAGACCTTTGAAGGTTGAATTGAGGATGTAACACCTTGCTGCAAGGACTCTTCCACAGGGCTTGTATCAATGAACACGATGCAAGAAATATGTTTCATGGGAGTGTGGGAGAAATGTATCCTGTGTGTGTGTGTGTGTGTGTGTGTGTGTGTGTGTGTGTGTGTGTGTGTGTGTGTGTGTGTGAGAGAGACGCTGCCGTGAGGTTAGCTGTGATAGATGTCCTGTTTAGTTTAATTGATGCTGTGCCGTGTTGAAGGCCGACGCGTGTTGTACACCGAACACGGAGCCGCTGCCCAGCTGGTCTCTGTGTGTGTGTGTGTGTGTGTGTGTGTGTGTGTGGGGGGGGGTAAAGGGCATTGTTCATGTGACAGACAGGCATCTGCTGCTTTACTCCACAAAATGAACATATGCACAAACAAATGTCTGACGGTCACGAGTCACACATTAAGCCTGACCACAGACCACAGACTTAAAGAACTGCAATATTTAAATGTTTTCTAACACAATGGAACAAATCAGAAACTGAATTTATATGTGATCCGGATTAAATTAGTTTATTAGAGGGTCATAATTGAATCGGTCGTCTGGCTCCACAAGTTCGTCATGATTTCTTTCTCACCACTCGCGTGGTACATGTGTGAGCAAACGCAGGTCATTCTTGTGTCCACGACCTGAAATTGTTTCCTCACTTAAAGCACAATGTTTCATCAAGGTGCATCAAAACTCCAAATATATTCAGTTTTGTTGCCTTTGATTTTGTCTTTTCTGAAGGTTAGCCTGGTTCTGTTCTGTCCTAAAGCTGTTCTGTCGCAGTAACGCTAAATATTGCTGAGCAGCTCTTCTCATCAGTCACGCACACACACACACACACACACACACACACACCTAGACACACAAAAACATATACACACACATACACGCACGCACACTTGCAGACACATGCAGAAGTGCTGGGCTAGGGGAGAAATGTGGCCTGTTTCTTTGCCGTTTTTGATGACTTCGGCTGTACTGGTGAAACAGAATGCAGCGTTCATTTGCACAGGATACAGTGTCCCAAAACAGAGGAAAGGAGACACAAAATACACACTGCTGCTGCCTTTACATCGTGATTATCTTATCTTGATAGTGGATGTCTAAGTTGTTTTCATTCACACTTTTAAGAAGGTGAATAATCTGATCTACTGTCGGGTAAACGTCAGCAAGCATGGGCAAAAAACGACAACATCTCCACCAGAGCTCGCTTACTCTGGAGCTTTCAACAGCATCACACCGTCGTTGACTGGTGAAGGTTGTCATGGTTGTGTAGTTTAAAAAAAAAAGTACTTTAATATTAATATTATTACTGTCATTGGTCGATCCAGAGAGCATGCTGTGTTGTGAAACAAGTCATTACAGCCTGATTTAAAGAACAAACATAATGCTTTATTAGGTAATTAATCTGAAAGAAATTGCTTTGTCCTTAGGAAGTGATGAGCTCCAGTTAAGAATGTAAAATGCATTTAATTAATGTGCACAATTGATCCATGACAAAAGATTTCACCGTTTGTAAAGTGGGATGTAGATTAATTCCCCTGGCATTTATTAAGAAGTGAACATCACACCCATTCACACAAACAAACAAACAAACAAACCCCCCTGAAGCACAACTAAACAGCAGGTCTAGTCGACCCACAATGCCATGCTGTAGATATTCCTCCTGCCCCTCTATCGTGGGGTAATTGTGTGAATCAAGAGAGATTGCATTTACTCCGACAGCTGAGTGGCGAGCTGGCAAGGTAACAAATGGCCTGATAACCAGCACTACTCTGATCCCCTCAACGCAGAAATAAAAAACAAAAAAACGATTACCTGCTTCAGACAGACCTATCCTGTGATGTCACATGTGATAAGGAGAGACATCTTTCGGGAGCACAGATAAGTGAAGAGGTGGGACGGAAGGAAAGGAGGAAAGATGGGCGAGAGGGCCAGGGATGAAGTGAGTAAAAGGGTTATGGAAATGTTCCAGTTGAGATTTCTATTTGTTTTACAGATTGCGCCACTTATTCCGAGATGTCACGGCATAGAAGTTATAGATGGAAGATGAGACACTTTGGCCAATATTTAAGAGGGTAAATTGTCGAGAAAGGTCAGAACAATCAATTGTACCCATGACTTTTAACAAGACCCTAAAGAACGTATAATTAATTCAATATTCCTTTTATTTTCTATCCACACTGTCTCTCTGTGTATCTGTAAATAGCAAGATCAAGCCATCAAACATTGAGCAAAAAATCACATATTTGCACACACACATACACAACGTGTCTGCAGTGTATGAAAATGCAAGCTTTGGCTTTGAAACCGGCATCACTTATTTAACTTGCATTCATGTAACGTACAAAGGCAGTGACTGCAGCATCAGGTTGATGTTTTCAGGTTTTGTTTGTTCCACGACTGGATCACATGACTACAAAGCTCGGGTGAGTTTGTGCTGCAGCCGACAGTTCATGTGAAATCATGCCAGGTGGGTCATTACATCTCGCACATAAGCCATGATTAGTATTCTTTAAAATAAGAAATAAATTACTACCAGCAGGTGTCAAACTGATGAACCCACAACTTTTCAGCACATAGTTTTGTTTTTGATGTGGCCCACAATTTGGGTGGCACGGCTGATAGATGTTGTCACACTTCTATGTGTCCTTCTTGAGCGCTTGGAAGAACAAGGTATTTTGTTTTGCCA